ATATATATATTCAGCTCTGTAGATATTCCTTTAATTTCTGGTGTTTCAGGCCATTGAGGACAATGTGGTAAATCAGTCAGCAGATCTATTGTATTTTTTGATCATTTCTGCATCAATGTAATGAAGTACCTTGCGTTGATTCCTGTCTGGTTATTTTGAATACATTAACAGTTGCTCAATTAATTATTAAGACAATTTACTATTTCACTATATATAAACCACAATATAAAATGATACACAGGAGGTCTTATGCCCACTCCTACCTGACAGTTATTGGAAAAGACAAAATGACAGTATTCAGTTTCTTTCTTTGTAGTGGTGTAAATGTACACATAAATCATAAAATATCATTTAAACAAGGCTCTTTTTCTTTACAGGCCATAATAGCAATAAACCTACTGCAAAATGGAACCCAGTGACAGCCAAAGGACTGGATGACCGTGGTTTTTTATGAGTGTTACTTGGAAAGGTTTGTTTACATGGAAGGACAGTGGTCAGTAGAGTACAAACTGGATGCCAAAGAGTTAAAGAATGGAAACACGTGTTGAAGAATCTCCAAATCGAGTGGAATTTGTTTATGCAAGCTTGTCACATAAGTAAAAGCTATTTCTGAATGCTGTGCGTATATTTTGACGGATTGTCAACCATCACGCATACTGTACTGTCTTCCATTGTCCCGCAGTATTGCTGCGATAAGATTTAGTTTTAACCAGAATCTGGACTGATTTTAGTTTGCACAAAGGGTTCTTGAATCTTTATTATTCTTTTTAATCACCTTATGTCCAGTTTAAATGTGTATTTTTGTTACTTGTGCAGTAGTCCTACAGAAGTGCAGCAGAATTGAAGATATACCAATATATTTCAAGTAAGGCATGAGAGACTAGCTGTACCGTAATTAGACAAAGATAAAAGAAGGAAGTGTGAAGGAAAATCACTGCTCGTGAAAATATATATTTCAGATACTATAACAGAATATGATGTCATTCTACAGAACAAATTAAAAGCAGCAGGTTATGGCTTACTTATTTGCACTAGTCAAAGGAGTAATATCTGGGCAACTTCAAACTTTATGCACTTTGAGGGCTTTAGGACACCAGGGAACAGACATTGCAACACTCCAGTTACTGTTTTCTTTAGACTGTTATCATTTATCAGTTATTTTACATCATGTCTGTGTTAATGAATGACTGGGGGCTGCCCTGTACTTGTCAACTTGTTTGGCTGTAAAAAAAAAATCTGTCAACAAAGATTATTCTGCCATTATTCATTGATATGGAAAGATCTTTCTCAAAGTGTGATTGAGCATGACTGTGTTCAGTTTCTGGCAGTCTAAAAATCCTTCAATTTGGTGACTATGATGTTCTGTAGTTGGGGTAGCCCTCATGTTATTCAGTAGGTCATTATATACTGTACCACCATGTCACCATTTGTATTCTACCTTTGATTGTGTTGGGTCTTGTGATCTTTTTTTGTAATTCACAGTGATGTCAAATCGTATTTTATCAGTCTTCCTTTTGAAGTAGACTGGCTTTAACAGGTCTGTATTTGCAGGTATTTTCATAATGATGCCAATATAATTAATATGCCTATTTGATATTGACCATACAACACAACAATTATTTTAGTTTGTAAGACTAATGTTCTCAAACCTGCATGTGGCCTTTACAAAATCTTACTAGCTGTGTGTACAGCATACGCATGAGCATGATAGTACTGGACTTTGAGTCCAACAAACATAACTTATATTAGATTTTACTTAATTGTAACAAAACCAATTTATTAAATAGAAAATTTACAGTTAATTTGGAAGCTTTTTTAACATTGGTAGGAATGTTGTCGTATGTTGTTGTATTCTGTACAGCCGACATTCCCGAAAACACATGGAAATCAGTGTTGTTCTATTTTAGAATATTGATATAAATTTTCTTTTGTGGGATTTAAATCTTTTCCTAAACATACAGCCATTAATGCATCTTTTTTCACTTAGTATTTCTGTATACCCACAATAACCTTCATCCAGGTATTTCTCAACTAGTTCAACCGCACACAGTCACCTAATCTGCTGTGTTTGAGTGTGTTGTGTTTGTGTCGTCTGACACTAAAGGATGGTGTTTAGAGATTTATGTGTGCGTGTGTGTGTGTGTGTGTGTGTGTGTGTGTGTATGTGCGTGCGCGTGTGTTTGTGTGCGCAACCACATCTAAACTTGTATGTTGAGCATCCACTTGCGTTTGTCATTGTTTATTTATTGACACTGTTTAAATTCACTTTACTCAAGCAGTCTAATCTTTCAAATAACATCATATAAGGATGCGTTTACACAAGATTGTGCTGTTGTAATTAAAATCATTCATTTTACTGTTATTTTAAGATATGTAATATATTCAAAGGACAAAGAAATCTCTAAACTACTGGATTAGATGACGTTCAGTTGGAGTGTATTAACAGATTGAACTACATGTTGTCTCACTGTTTTTTGTGCTTTCTTATGTGACTAATGCTTATATCATTTATTTCCAATAATTATCATGTTATTTACCTTTTGTCTTCATCTGTAAAATATGAATTGTTTTCACACAAGTTGTCATTTATATTCTGAACGTTGTGTCTTCGGTTGTATCAAGAGTGCCTTGACATTTTTTTAGTGAGACATGTTATTTGTGAGTGAAACCACATTTGGGGAATGAAGGAGATGAATGAAAGGGATGGAGGAAGTCATGCAAAACTTTTTACATATGCAATGCTAATCGTGACATATCTGATAACACTCCTCTGACTCGCACCATTGTACTATGGGTGTGTTGGAGTTACGGGGGATGGGTTTGTGCCAGGTACGATATTAATAAAAGCCCTTTGACACTTGGAAGTTAACAACAGCAGCAGAGTCTCTCTTCACTCTGCATCCAGCTGCACTTGGCAAAACTTTGACTTTCATACTTTAAATGTCAGAGGCAGAAAAATGGGAAAACCTGTGCTTGTACAGTAAGTGGCAAGTGCTTCTCACCTTCCCAGTTTGAAAGAGCCTTAATTTACAATAACTGAAAGATTGAGTTGGGTTATTAAATGTGCATGCATGCCCGTGTGTCTGTTTAGGTGCGAGCTCTGGGAAAGGGAGCTGATAATTGGGTTTCCTATTGCATCCAAGATCCATAGTCTTCAGTCACAGTAAGGCTTTATATACTCGAGGGGCCTATTTGACAAAAGGTCTTTATGTCCTGCGTCACATGACGTCACAGTTGGCATTTCATCAATCCATATCTTTTATCTTGTGCGGGGACAGAACGTAATTACACTTTATTGCATCAACACTCAAGAACAAAGGAGAACTTTCCCTGTTATGTCACTGATTCTATCTGATAAGTTACTGGCTGATATGGCCTGATGTGTTGGAACTATGCCTCCCTGAATCCTACTGTCATACCTCTGTGTGTGGTTAGGATTTGGCCTGACATTACTGTTGAATTGAGTTCTTGGTGCTTCAGTGAATGCTTCATGACTTGTGTAAGTACAGATCAATTAAAAGAAACATATAAAATCTGTCTACACATTATATTTTTGTAGATAATATATATTTATTTTTATTTATTGTTGAATAAAGTTTAAATTATTGTATCACTCTCAAATTAGTCCCTTCACTGCATATGTTTTTTCAAAACCTAGAGGCCTCTGGCTCCGGCCCCTGCTTGAAAATGAGATGTCCAAAATGAATAGTGTATCTCTGAAACTGCAAAGTCTATTTGGTATCATCATAAAGGTAACACTTGTTGGATTTCTGCAGAGGTGTAAGCATCAGTATTTACAGTATATGTAACAGAGTCAGCGTAAATAAATATGGAACACAGCATAAATGAAAGATTTCATTTGCAACTAACAAAACTGTACACTGTACAGACTGAATACCCCGTTTGGATGATGCAGGTGCAGCCCATAGCAAACCATATCACAATAGCTGAACAGAGGCAGAGCAACGTTGGAGAGGTTTTAGTCGAGGCATGTAAAGGTGAAATCTCCAAATTGGTCATTTGGGTACATTTAGTTTCCATCTGTGCCATTTGAAATGTTCTCAGATAATTGTAAAACTCATTTAGTTATATTAATATATCACTATAGGTATTATTTTCCTCTTTTTTTAAAACTCAATCAACCAGACCTCTATACATGTTCTCATTCAAAGAAAACCATAACCCATTGGTCTAGAATGAGTGCAGTACTACAATTCCTCCACCAGGAGGAGACATAGACTGTGTTTTCACATGCAAGGCTGAGGATAGGCTGCTCCTTGCTGGAGGAAGGTAGAGTGCAAATTCTCCTTCATGCAAATGAATAGACACGGCTGGAATTGACTCAAAAATCATCCAGAGACAATGTAGTAGCCATAAGTAGCGTTGATATTCCCTCGAACACAATTTTTTATTTTACAAAACAACAAAGTATATATAAATATATAACAGTCTATTTGTCCTCCTCTATTCTGCCGCTGGTTCAGGGGGGTTTGGTCGTAGAGTGATCAAACATGTACCGTTGGAATCTGTGGAGTCTCGGCTTTCTTAGTGCCTTATTGTTTTTGCAAGTAGCATGAAGTTGGCAAAATCACTTGCAGCCCTAACGTCCATGCACCTTTATCATGTTTTTTGCTGTGTACTTATTTAGTTGCTTGGTGTTGGAATTGTGTTTTGTCTCAGTAAAAATGGTTATTGTGAGCTTTTAGCCGAGCTTCTTTCCGTTTGATGAGTATGTAGAATGAGTTGTTATTGCATGTTCATTGTTAACAAATGCCCCCAGTACCAGGGATTGATGGCTTTCAAGACCTCCAACAAACCTCCACAGGTTCTCACTGAAAATGATCATTTCGATAAGAATAAAACAGCAAAACACAGAAAACAGGCAGTAACAGTGTGTTTTTATTACTGAAGGTATCAAAATCCTGTGCAATTCAAATCTGTTTCATATACTTTATGGGTGTAGGCTAGTGCACATTTTACAGGTGATGTTGGTATAAGTTGCTGGTAATCTTCAAGTCAAAAATTTCCTTTTAAAGTTTTGTTGATCAGTTTGGTCTAATCCCTCTTGAAAATCCTCTTTGCGTCCACACCTTCATAGTTGTAGGTCTGTTGATAAAAGATCATGTCAGATATGGTTATTATATATAACTTGACTTATAAATGAAATTCTGTATTTGAGCTCCTTATCCATAACGTATTAACATATGTAACTTGGTATAAGTTATCCGATTTTGACTGATGTATATGTGTATTCAAAACATGTCACAGCATCTCTTAACAATATAAAATAACCTGTAGCTCAGCACCTTCTTTAACGGCTTCCCAAGTGTGAGGTACAAAATGTGGATTTTTCGTGCCCCAATTTGCATGGATATAAATTCACCCTACCTGTATAAATTCATCTCCTTGGACAATTCTGGTTGTTGTCAGTTGCTTCCCGTTGTCCTTCCTATTGAAGATCCCCTTCATCATGTCTCCATCCATGGCCCACGAGCCCTGCAGGGTGAAACATGAAACTTATTCATAACATGAATATTAGGTGGGTAAAGTTTTAAAACTTTGACTGTTTGTGGTAGTGAGTTAAAATCAACTGGACACAATGGTTACCACAATAAAAGTCTTTAGCTAACAGATTAACTTTTTCCTTGCCACTCAAGGGTCCAAAGTCTAAAGTGGCTGAAATACCCAGCTCATCTTAAAGTATGTAGAACTAAACAATTGCACAAAATCACAAAAATGTAGATCATTTGAGTCAAGCGCAAGTATTTTCTTGTAAAAGTCAGTTTTTGAGTTATTAGAAAGCGTAATGATGAAAAAAAGCACATCCACTAGATGGCACTTTTACTTACTGATAGTTCTGTTCCATCTGCAAGGCTGTACTCAAAGGTAACCCCCAGGGTGAAGTCTAATTCCAGGGTGCGGAAATTGCTGCTCTCCTTGACATGAAACTTGTCTCCGGTCTGTTCGATGCTTATCTTGAGGTTGTCGTGAGCAGCCAGCTTCCTCTTCACCATGGTAATTCCTATCAACAGATTCATTGGAATATGTTCAGTATAGGCTTTGAACAATCAGAGGAAGTTTGCAGGATGTAATCACTTTCCATGCACATATAGCTCCTTCGTTTGTGTATTTGTAGAGGTAAGTAGGTACAAAAGCCAAATCACAAACATGTTCAGTCAGTCATTGTTCCACCAGGTGTTTTCATGTGAGACTTAAGCATTTAAAGACCGAAGATTTTAACTAATATCTTGACTGCATACATAAAAATAAAACTGAATGAATGAATTTGATCGAATAATTTTTTTTATGATTCTCAGTTTGCTTCCTAACTGACATTTTGTCTTATTTTCATGAAATTAAAACTTTATTAATGCTTCAACAGCTGCTATCAGATCTTGGTTATATTGTTGTCATCTTATTACACAAAGAGTAAACATGTTAATGGGACACACTGTGATTTTTCAACCATATTCCATATATGAAACATGGCATTCCGTCCTCAGCATTGTATCAGCTCAGTTTGATATCACTCACCCATCTTTTCCATGAATTTCTCGTAGTTATCATTGCGATCAATTTTCCAGTTGCCGTTGAAGGTCATGGTGGCTGTGAGGGTGAGCTGGACAACTCTGCAGTGAGGAGTGTCTCACTCAGAGTCTGCCACTCCTTTTAAACCACACTCCCTCTTATCTGGCCATCTAATCTCAGTGCTGATGTGGCCGTTTAAAGCTCATATTTTCTCAAGGCAATATCCACAGCTGCAGTTGATTGTGCAATGCCAATGTCCTTAACAGAGCTGCACCATAGCCAATCAATCTTACCATATGGTGTACTTTTTGAATATTAGAATGGTTGACACATCCTGTTTCACCTCTATCTCTGTTTGCAAAGGGTGTTGGTCACCATGAATTCAGTGAGGAAACGAAGTGACTAAGCATGCAGCAAATACAACTAAAATATATGTTTTTATTTAACTTGCAACTCAATCACGATTCGAATGTCTAGTTTTTGGCCCTTGTACGTACAGCTGACCAAAAAAGAAAAATAACTAAACAAACCTGTTGAAGCATATGTGAATGCAATGATTCCACTACTTTAAATGTGACTTTCTCTGATGTCATTTTGCCAAACCTCTTATCATTAAACCAATATATTTCTGATGTAATTGCCTGGTACAAAACGGTGTGGTTGTTAATGTGTTTCCAATGATACCTTTGACCTTAATCTGGCCATTGTGACCATAAACGTGACCTTTGATATTTGAAGTTAATAAACACATGCGTGTCATTGAGATACACTAAACTAAACATTATGTTTTTTATAGTTATTCTGGGAAAATATGAAGCTTATGCAGATGAGAAAATGACTATGGGGCGTCTATGTTTTTGAGTTTGGGGATATTCTGAATAATGTATGTAAGATGTAACAACAGAATGATGCAAACACAATTTACCAACTACAAACTAAATGCAATGTCAAAAAATGACATTAACAAAGTATTTATCTTAAATGGGCAGAGATAAAGCAGCAAAAATGCAAAGTAATTCATATACATCCCCACAAAGTTTCACAAAGAGATGAATAAAACATGCACAGCATGTCAATTTGTTTTCTTATCTCAGCTTCTTCTCATCTTACTATGAGACCTTTGCCTGACCTTCACCTCCACCTAAATTAATCTGCCTCTTATCACACAAAAGGCCTTTCTACTATAACTACAGTGAGGAAATTGACAGGTGAGCTTACTTGAGCCAAGTTAAAGCTTATCTTTAACACAACCCACAACACTTTATCCTAGTTGTAGTATCAGATGTAACACTGCAACATAATAGCATGGCCTGAAAAGGAGCGGTAGAGGACAGTATGTCACTGCAGTGACTCAGACCTGTTTTAGTCAACACTGTGTGTGTGTGTGTGTGTGTGTGTGTGTGTGTGTGTACAAGTTGTTACACTCTGTGGATACAGCATTTTATAAACTGTGAAGGTTTCTCTATAGCATTGATCCAAGCATTAAGGTTTTTGGGCACAAAGGTGAGAAGATAAATCTGGATGCTTGTTCATTACCAGCGCTGAGGAACCCTTGAGCTCTGTGGACATTGGATCAGATTGTGGTTGAACTGAACATTTTATTGACTACTTTTACAGCTTTTCTTGGTTAGGCTCCAAGTTAAGTTTTTGAGTTCATTTTTTATCTTTCCGACCTGTGCCCAGCCTTTGGTCATCAGACAAAAAAACTGCTAACTCTATGAGTATGAACAGGGCCGTCCTGAAAAGGAGAGCCCAACAAAACTTGTCTGGATAAATAAAGGTTAATAATAAATAATACAGTGTATAGTCCGTCGCTCTGCAGTATTACAAGCTTTTGCAGCATTGGTTTGTGGGCTTCAAGAAGGAGGAAAACGTCAAAACAGACCAAAAAATACACATTAAACGATTTTTCACAGATTACATTTTCACACATCATGGCTGAAAACACACATGTGTAATTAATGACATGACAATGGGCTGCAGCCATCAGTAACACCTGCAGTTTTCCCAGTACCACAGTCAACCTGCCTGCTATGACAAAGGCCTAAGTAGTTCTAGCTAACTGGTTAGCAAACAATCATCTAATTTACCCACCCAGTTTACACAAAACAACACGAATTCATCCTGATGAAGGTAAGGCCAGCTCTTCTTTTACTTCTGGTTGTTTTGCTAACTTCTGAGCTACAGAGTAAATGTTTGTCTGTAAAACCATAATTAGGAGCTAAAAGAGGCTTAAAAAGGTAAATGAAAAGATAAAGATAAAAAGCTGAAGGAAGCAGAACAGTTGGATGATCATCCTCACTGAGTGATCCTTTTCATATTTCAGTCCAATGAGTCAATGTATATAAACTGGTGTGCTCAATGATAACGCTTTAAATAAGACTTATTAGGGATGAACAGTAGTTAATAAACAATACACTGTAATATTGTGATATGAGACTAATTATTGTCTTAGATCATGATAACTTAATTTGGGATGTGTTGCAGTAAAGTGATGTCATTTTCTACACTTACTGTTCTATTATTTGCTTTTACCCACTTGGTCTTTATACCCACATCACTTATTATTATTCATCTAAAATCTCAATTTGTAAATATTTTGAAAAAAGCACCAATGATCAAAGCTTAATTAAACTACCGTCACCTTGCAAAATGAACTAATACAAATTTACTTTTAATTTAAGAAATATGCTATGCATAAAAGTGAAAAGCTTGCTGTGGCAATAACAGCAGCAGGTGTGTCAGAAATGCACAGTGACATGGTGAAGACTTCACATTTATGGCTGTTTTGTCCTCAGGATTATAATCCCCTGACTAGCCACCAGAGAGAGCTCTTTCCAAAGAATCTGCTTTATATTATTGTTATCAACTTGCACTGATGTCTCTATGTATTAAAACACTGCCTTCAGTGAAAGTAACGACAATGCATTACCTTCTCTGTTAATCTGTAATATTGTATCTTGATAAGAGCCACAATGAGTAGGTTGACAGCAAAGCATGTGTTGTACAAAGGAAATATCAAGTAACCAACACTTCTTAAGACTGTTTTATTAGTTACCTCCCAGCAGAAACAACCATGTCTTACAAGCACAGAAATGCACTCGTACAGTACAAGAGGCACCTGTTTGGTTCTTTCACAGGAAGCTACATGGAGGAGAGGATTCATCACAAGGACAGTATGTGACATTAAATAATGACTTTGGAAAAATAAGGTGTTAAAATTTCTAATGCAAATAGTTGAATTTATAGAGGCACAAACAGTAGTTTCACCCATAATAAAGTGTACATAGTTAATAGTTCTTATGATAATAAATACCAAATGACACAATGTTAACCATGAATATGTAGATCATTAACAATATCTCAACAACGTTTAGTTAAACTGAAAATGCTACTTATTTCATGAAAGCAGACAAAAAGTGAGTAAAGAGGTGCAATCAGTATATCAAATAAAGTAGTTTGTGTATTTTCAATTATCACCGAGATAATCTGATTATTCGGTAACGGCTCAACATGTATAATTTGGGACTTTTAAAGAATAAAGAAATACAGAATGAACTCTACTTGGCACAGTAGCTTTTGGGGGTTTTGGTTTTGATGCCAGCGTAAAACTCTCCAAGCCAATGAACAAAAAATGGGTGCCTCGAATAGTGACATTAATGTTTTGGCACATACATGATATCAAGCTAAAGTATATTCTTTTATTACACTCATTATGTATTTGGGCTGATAGAGTGAAGACTATAAATTCCCAATATAGAACAAATACAGTATATGACAAAATAAGAAACTAAAATTATTTAAGATTGATTGAAAATGTTTTGCTTATCAAAACCTTTAGTTAATTTATGTACAATAACAATGTGAGCGTACCTAGTCCAAAAATGTATTAAACTTGAATATCACTAACCTCTACGATTTATAAAACACTTCACTACTGTGTCTACGCTAAAAAAATAGTGAGGTCACAACAGATCATGGTCAAGCAGAAACAAGCATGGAAGAGCAATGGTACAGGCTCCTCATATCATAAATATCTATATGTCTACGGATAGATTATCATTGTTTTATTTTACCTGATCCAGCTCATCCCTGCCTCAGAATGTGTGACATTTACTGAAGCTTCTGTTAGATGAAAATCGTGGTGTTGAGCTCTAACTAACTGTGGTGGACTGTGTGTCTGTGGGCTTCCTCGACAGAAACCACACCTTCATCGGTTCCTTCATTCCTTTCATGGTGACGGGGCCACGATACTCCAAATTAAACTGAGGGTCAGCATTCTCCGCGGACTGCAAACACCTGGAATACAACGTCAACACCATCATAAATCACTGTATGGTCCGGGGGGGATTCTGTATCTTATTTTCACGAATGCCATGATAACACTTTTGAGTCGACAATGAACATCAAATTCACTAAAACAGACATACTGGTTTATATTTGAAATTGATTAAAACCTGTCCTTCATGTCTAACACTGATATTTGCTTGAGAAATGACTTATACTACTGTTTAACCAAGTCTACAGACAATGATAAAATCTAAACAACACTTGACATGAATGAAAAAAACTGATGACAATATGCAATTGTACTTCTACTTACCGGTACGTATATTCTGAGACGTTTATTTTTCCCTTCTCGCCGGTAGTTTCTGTACGACTTGTGAGGTTGACGGCATTTCCAAAGAGGCAGTACCTGGGCATCCTCTGGCCAATCACGCCAGTCACCACTTCTCCGGTGTGGATCCCAATAGTGATCTGGAAAAGAAAGGGGAATGAAAAAGGAGACTTCCACCGTCTGTCCGTTTATAATATAACCAAAGTAAATAAATATGCCAAAGATATACCTGTACTTGCAACAAGCTTAAATATTTATTCTAGCATAAACAGAGCACTGATCAGTGGTTATCTGCGGTCAATTCATTACTTAAAGCAGCACATGACAGACCAGATTTATCTTCAAAACGGTGGTCATGAAATATTAGAAAAGCATTCAAATAAACCTGTGTAAATGTCAAATCAAGGAGGTAAATGAGTTGTGCTCGACAGAAAGAGAGAAAACAAATGCAAGCAACTGTCCAGCTGAATGCTTCTCTTAGTTTGTTGGCACAAATTATTAAAGCTAGTGACTGAAAAGCTGCAACATTTGGCAGGAATCACTCCATGAACAACATTTTATATATATATATATTTATGTTTTTCAAAACCTATTTTAGGTAGCAAAAAGCTGGCAATTCCAAAAGTAGCCCCAGCTGATCTACAGACTAATATTTACACTTGAACCTGTAGGCACTTGAGTGCTTGTTGTCTTCAGAGCATGAACACGCTGAGAGTGTCTGAGACGGATGATGATCTATTTTTAGACACAGGATTGTGAGATGATTTGAGTCCGTTTCTGCTGCTAAACCGGACTTCACTTCTGCCAGTGCCATGTCCCAAAATAAACAGCCTTTTGTTAACAAGACATGATTTTCCAAAGTCAAGTCTCAACAGTCATTGATACAATAACAATCTCCAACAGTCAGTTAAACAAAAGTCTGCTGTTTTTTATCCAAACTTTTGTCTGTGCGTTACTTCAGCGTGGAAATATTTCCACCTGCAC